TTGTTCGCGACGAATTGTACGCGACGAATTGTCGTGCGACGAATTGTACTAGTACCATGAATAGCATATAATGGACTTCTGATTCGATTGTGGACAAAAACAACAAAGGATATGAAGAATGAGAACAAACAGTATTATGTTTATCTAGAATAATTTATAATTCTGTCTTGTGATCGAGCAAAAGAATAAAATTAAAAATGGCACATATGGTTTGATTTCTATGACATAAGTGTATATTTAAATGGCGAAGAAAAGAATACGACACGAACAAATCCTCATTAACTCTTCGTAGCTGATCTGGGGTTCGAACGAACCCACTTTGCAGTTTTTCATGTATTACTTCATTAATACTTCCTGTTTTCGACCATCGTCCTCCTCTAATCTCTAGTCTAATGCTGGTGCATACACGTATAAAAGGGTTGAAGAAAACACTATTAATTACGTTTGATGATTTTTTATAGATAGATCTGCGCGGACCCCAGGACAGCTACACAGTTACAAAATCGGAACAGCTATGAAGGGTTAATTAGATAAAAATAAAAGAATAATAATCATATTATTATTGTTCATATCTATAGTGTTCAATAAAAATATCTACAGAAAAAAAAGGAGAGTAGTTGGCAAAGATAGCTTAGAAGAAAAAAAAATGAATGAGATAAAACTGATCATATCAAACGTAAATACAAGAGAATATATATGTACGTGTGTAAATGTGTTGATATGTGATATAAAAAAGGAAGAAGAGGGTGTGAGATTATATTTCATAGAATTATTTTTTTACCTTTTAAAATAATTAGTTCAATGGACCAGCATTAATTAGAACAGGGACATAAGTTTTATTTGCATGAGAAAGTGGAAATGGTATTCACAAACAAAAACGAAAGGATGTAGTCATTCACACTTGCAAAATTTTAAGAAAAAACAACCAAAGATACTGTTTAAATTCTGCAGATCATTATTTTTCAGCTTAATTCAATTGAAAAACAAATAAAAACAAAGAATGAAGACTAAAAGATTATAAATGCAAACAGTAGCATTATTCTTTGATTGTCATTTGTTCTGGCAATATAAAGTAAAACAAAAATTCAAAGGAAAAAGTAAGAGAAACCGGACGAACTCGCTTATAAAGAAGAAAAAAGGAGCTCAATGAGAGATTATAGTGTTCAAAACAGCACCACATTATGTATATAATACATAAAATAAAGAAAATCTAAGAAGAATGAAATGATATATTCTATATCGCAAGCGCAGAAAGTCAACAGAGTACATGATGAGTGTACTGTTGTTGTAAAAATACAGAGCAGAAGGTGGAGATAGTGTTGCGGTTTTCTCATTAACAACACCAACACCATTACTATTTCCACATACTTCAACAGATGATGATGCTGAAATTGGAAGTAATATACGGATTTATTATTTGTGCATGTTGATGATATGGTTGTTGTAATGTTGATAATGATAATGGTGATTGTGTTGTACCAGTTGTTGTTAATAATGTTGTCGTAGGATTTCTTCTATTTAAAATTTGGCAAGCTAATGCTGTCGTGTATTGTTGAGCTAATTGACTTACATTTAACATGGTTGCTGTTGAAGCTAAATTTATTTTATTATTAAATATTTGAAAAAACAAAACTAATTATTCAATTATATACTTGGAAGATGAATAGCACCATTATTTATTACAGAAAGTGTTGTCAATGGAGCTTCAGTAAGTGTCATTATTGGTGAACCGTAAATATTTGAAATATCTGTTAAACATCTTGCATCAATTGAAACAGGTTCATTAGAATTTTCACTTGGTGGTAATATTGGATTTGCATAATCTCGACTTTTATCATGTTTATGTTTGACATTTAATGAATGTAATTTAGAAAAATCAAAAATCAATTTGTAATGTACAACAATCATTATAAATGTTTTGACAATTTAAACTCTTTAGAAAAAAAATTATTTCTATGATTGATAAAAATATCTTTGAATGTTTTTTTACTAATTTTGCTGATTGTGCAGTTGCTGCATCATTGAATTATATTAAATCTTGAAATTTAGCGTGTGGATCAGATATGTCCATCGCGGCGCTGCCGCTGCCGCTGCCGCGCCGCTGCCGCGATGGCGGTGGCGGCAGGTTTTTTTAAAAAATCACCGCGGCAGCGGCGCGGTAGCGGCAGATTTTTTAAAAAGTCATCGCGGCAGCGGCGCGGTAGCGGCAGGTTTTTTAAAAAACCATCGCGGCAGCGGCAGGGTTTTTTTGGAGAACATTGAAAAACTGTATGAATTTAATAGAATTTCAGGATTTACAAATGAAACGCCCTGATATTGAATAAATCTGATGGACTAGTACCCATATCTCTGGTCAAATATAGTCACAGCAGTGAAATTAGAAACACTTTTTTGAAAACCGTCGCGGCAGCGGCGCGGTGGCGGCACGTTTATTTTATAATTCATCGCGGCAGCGTTTCTTTTATAAGTCATCGCGGTGCGGCAGCGTCGCGGCAACATTTTTTTATAAACCGTCGCGGCGCGGTAGCGGTGCGGCAGCTTTTTTTTTCTAAGGTCGCGGCGCGGCAGCGGCAGATTTTCAGCCGCTATGGACATCTCTGGTGTGGATGTAGGTGTGTGGGGTGTGGGTGTCGTTGTGGGTGTCTAACGAATACTACACCCACAACCACACTCACACATAACAATAAGTGTTCATTGTTACAATAATGAAACTGACTTGAATTTCGTTAATAATTTAGCTTCCGACCACGGTATACTTAGTTTTAGCAAAGTTTTATGTACGAGCAACATAAGTGTAGAATGAATGTCTGTTTACCAAGACTCAATACAAAATAATTTTACCTGACTCAAAATACCTCATTCGATGCAGTTTTTAATGCTGATTTTGAATCTAAAGCTGATTTTTATTGTTGATCGCAAAATATTAGAGCAAACAGTTGAACAATATAAAACTCCCACTACTAAAAATGTAAAAACAGCAGCATTGTTTTTGTTTTTCTTCCTACTTTCATAGAAAATGATACTCCCATAAAAAGTTATTTATATAGGTCGATAGAGCAGAAGCTTCTCTATCGAAGTGTATATCGGGCTTTCTGCGCGAATTCCATTTTTGAATGACATGATAAGCAAACATTTTCGCACGTTTTAGCTACTGAGCGGAAAAGAGTAGCTGGTGAGGTTCTATGTAAAAATAATTTAAATTTACCTTGAAAAGTAGATGACCTTGAAGATTTTTCGATGCTCTACACGAATCTGGAGTTGAAATTTCGATTAGGAAAAATAGTTGGATTCACCTTCGCCAAAATAATGAAAGCGATCACATTTGAAGTCGAAGAAAATAATCCAAATGCGTATTTTCGTATTTTGTGAGTTTCTCTCTTATTTTACGATCAATGGTAGACTTCTTTGGTAATCAAAATGGTCAGCGTAAAAAGTTCTATCCAATGATACTATTTGAAGACTAATCGAAGATGACATATGTAACGGTGGGAGGAACCCCCTGAAATTACCCAAGTACTTTATGGAATGCGAATCTATGAAAAGTTTAGCTGACAAAATAGGTCTCACTTGACTCGACTGTTATTGTCAAATCATGAGGAGTATCAAGTTAAAAATGATCTACATCAAGACCAACTCATCTTTGAAATGACTTATCCAATGTTTGAGCTGAAAAAAGTTACGAACTATATATAGCAGTTCTCTTTTACTTCCAACAGTTTTTGAGCATACATTTTTAAGGGAAGCCAAAAAAAGTATCGCTGAAACATAGCAGAAATATGAAAGCAAGAAAGTTTCTTATCAATCACGTTAGCTGTTTTGCCTATATGAATAATTAGTGACTGTCAATACTCTGTTAATGCTGGTTGAGAACAGCTCACCGATTGATGTGTGAAAATTTTCGTTATGACTGGTCTACACTTCTTTGGTCTGTTTAGAAACGTTATCATATTCATATATCCATCGACTGTTTCTTTAATTTTTGTTCCTTTAAGTGTATGTGGAAATAGTAGGTCCATAGTTCTTTATTCACACAGGGTGGGCACGATGGCATAGTTCCTTTCAGTAGAGGGTTAGCGATGTTTGCGTCGCGTTACTTGTTATTTAACGTATCTTGAATGTTATTCAGTCGAGTTAACTCAAATAACGTTTTTCTTTTCTTTACTTAATAGGAAACACAGCTATCTATTAAATACCACAAGTCTTTGTTTATTGGTTTTATTGTTTTATTGATCTTGGGATATGGACTAAGTTGGAAGTTTCTTATGCGAATTGAGAAATTTCATAAAAACAATCTTTTCAATTAAAAATAGAATATCAATTGATCGTAATATTTTTTCAAATTTTTAGTATAAAAGCCGAAAAATTTTGCGAAACTTTAGTATATACGATTGTCACAATATATAAACTTCATTACTATAATAGTCGTATTCATGACGTAGTCGATGGTAAAAGGAATGTATTTTAAATTAAGAAAGAGCAAAGAAAAAACGTTCTTTTATGAAACATGTAGCAATAATTATAAGTGAAATCAGGCACGTTCAAATAGAAAAGGTATTGTTTTCACTTCAATCAAGTGACATATAATAAATTTTCGTTTTTATTATCGAATTTTAGTAAAAACAACTATAGTCGATAAGAAGTTCTTCACTGTACATAGGATGCATTATGATTAGAAGGCTAACAGGTATGCTTGATTTCTACATTTCAACTCAAAGAAGCAACGATAACAAAGATGTTTTTAATGAAAAAATTTAGAGGATATGGTTGGATATATATTCCACTCAATAGAATTGCCGCATCCACATTCGTACACTTGTTATGTACTATTGAAATCATGGTGGTCAACATATTTCAATCAAGAAGAATGTTCATGAAGAA